ATAATTCAATTAACAATAATAAACTATTAACTTTAATTTTCATGCCAAATAAGAATTTCAAACTTCCAAAAGTAAAGAACTAGGGATTTTTTATGAAGAAGATTTGCAGTAGAAGTGTAAACTGAAAGGATAAAAATATCAACAGCAATATACATAAAACTAGTGGCAACTATTATAGGTATTGGCGGCGACTAATGTTGCCACTAAATCAGTCTTTTAGTGGCGACTGTTATAGGTATTAGCAGCAACAAATGTTGACACTAAAACATTCTTTTAGTGGCGACTATTATAGGTATTAGCGACGATTAATCTTGTCACTAAAACAAACTATTAGTGGCGACTATTATAGGTATTGGCAGCGACTAATGTTGCCACTAAAACAGTCTTTTAGTGGCAATTATTATACGTATTAGCAGCGACGAATGTTGCTAGTAAATCATTCTTTTAGTGGCGATTATTATAGGTATTCGCAGCGACGAATGTTGCCACTAAAACATTCTTTTAGTGGCGACTATTATAGTTATTCGCAGCGACTAATGTTGCCACTAAAACATTGACAAATGTTACCACTAAATAAGTCTTTTAGTGGCAACTATTATATATATTAGCAGCGACTAATGTTGCCACTAAATAAGTCTTTTAGTGACGACTATAGTAGGTATTAGCGGCAATTAATCTTGTCACTAAACAAACTATTAGTGGCGACTATTGTAGGTATTAGCGGCGATTAATCTTGTCACTAAAACAAACTATTAGTGGCGACTATTATGGCTATTGGCGGTGACTAATGTTGCCACTAAAATAGTCTTTTAGTGGCGACTATTATCGATATTCGCAGCGACTTATGTTGCCATTAAAACATTCTTTTACATATATACTAGTAAAATTACCCGCGTCTCGCGCGAAAATTTAATGTTACGAAATTTATAAAATAATACTTAAAACTTATTAGTCATTTAAACTAAAACACTACAAAGGAAAATGATAATTATAACATCTTATCATTTATTTTTCAATCAATCATCTTTAATTTGATTTTATAATTTATTATTTTGCTTCCAGGAAGTGTTACTATTTGATATTTTTGAGGAATCAAATGTATCAACCAGTAATATTAAATATTTTAATAAATAAATAATCGTTGGTGAAGAGATAAATAATATGTAAAAGGTTGAAAAAAGTGAACAAATATTCTAATTCTAACGTGTAGAAGTTCAGCCCTACCTTTAACTTTATATATATCATTTTAAAGTTCTCATTTAAATGTATCATAAGTATATTAAAATGAAAATTAAAGGGATAATGTATTATATTGGACAACAATTCAACTTATTATATATACTTGAAAAGGAAAAATATTATACAAAACTATTCAGTTTGTTTGGGTATTTTTTTTAAATAAACATATCAGAGTGATGAAGTTCAATTTGAAACTAGACTTCTATTTCAATCACAATGTCGAAAACACATCTATTACTTCAAGAAAAGTATATTTACAACTTGCAGTAAACTTGAGAAATCTGTCCATACTTCATATTGAATATGAGCAATTAATTTATTGTGTAGTTTATCTATTTCTTTGGGATTAAAAGAGGCTGCAGTCTAGTCATATTCTTCTATAGATCATCCGGCACATCCTTGAACTTATGTCAAAAGTTTATTATTTTTTGTCTTCTTTTCCTAGTTCACTTTGCACATCAAGGTGCGATAAAAATTTTAAGATCTTTATGTGTTTACAATGACATAACAAATTTGAATTTTGTCTTCAAGATATGGTAGTACAGATCTTTAAGGAATTCTTTTACTCTACTTTCAACAATTTTAGTAGAGAAAATTTGCATGAATACTCAATTAACGTGTGTTATTTAATCTGTACTAACAAATACTTATAACAATAATTTTGCAGAAACATAAATAACAAAGTTTAAAAGATATACTCAAAAACAACAATTAATAAAATAAGCATGACTAAAAATGGAATGAAATGATCTTGTTTTGTTCCTCAGTTGAAAAGAGATGTCTTGGGCAACTGTAAAAAAAATATCAGGATCTGTAACAATAGAATGAAACAGAAAAGAAAAAATCGAGCCCACTAAATGTATAGTGTACCCTTAAGAAAATTATTCTCCTCTAATACCCGAGATTTAAAGGAATAGATCATCTCATGATAGGACGATTCTATTCACCAGTGTATTGATACAAAAAACAATGGTAAAGTGAGTCACTCAACAGGAGCAAAGTACACAAATAGTTAATTGTGCAAAAGAATAAGAAGTAGTTCAAAATTTTCATTGTTTTAAAATGAGTGGAAATCCTTCTATTTATAAACAACAAAGGGTAATGTGAACAAATATTTATTGTGCCTTATCAGAAAGGTCACAACTCTTTCGGAAAGGTTACAACTCTTCATAAAAGTCACAACTCTTCAAAAAAGTCGCAATTTTTCATAAAAGTCACAACTTTTCATAAAAGGAGAATGCTAGTTTTGGAAATAAATAAATTAAAAGGGAATCCTGGATTCTGGTGATGCCACGTAGGTGGGCCTAAGGTTCTCTTTTTTATATATATATGATATCAACTTAATTTGTTTGGATGGTTCTTATGTATCGTTTCAAAATATATATCATATCATATTTTATTATTTTAATGAATACAATGTTTGGATAGATTGTATCGTTCTCCGTCATTACATAATGTCACACATTAATAATTTGAATGATAAATCTACAAAAAAAAGTAGGATATGAGGTAGAGATATTATTAAGAGGTAGAGTAAAAAATAAAATAAAATAATTAAATAATAAATTAAGATAAAATGAAAAGAAACTATTAAGATAATGATGCGATCACACCAAATTGGTAGTTACACAAAATGAGACTTTTCATCATTCCCTTACGATAAATTTAAACGATATAATAAAATTTGATTAACAATCAAAACAAACATGATATATAAACAAACAATACAATACAATATAATGGATAGCTTGCTTAAACAGTCAATCCCAAACTTACAAATAGCCCAAACCAGAGGTTTTAAGATTGGGCTTGGAAAAACATAATTGGACAATTATCAAACCCAAGTGCATTTTATTCTTGCAACATTGGTCTTAAATAGCCCAAACATTGGAATCCCCCAATTTCACCTTCTTTTTTAATAAATGAATTTGGATGAAAATGTGATCAAAATTATTACATTTTATATTAATTTGAGATCACTACAGAAACTCATAAAACTTAAATCCTTCTCTTTTGAATTAGAGCATAATGAGTCAAGGTTTCTTGAAAATAGTTTTTCTACTTCTATAAGGTAAAAATGAAATTTGTGTACACACTATCCTCCCCAAACATCACCATTGAGTATGTTGTTTTAAGTTAGAGCTTAACATATGTTTTCCCCTCATGATGATCAATGATAGAGTGATACTCATTACTTCCTCCGTCCCAATTTATGCTTCACATTTCAGATTTGAAGTTTTGTATTTCTTTGATTGTAATTTTTTCATATATTTTTAAAAATATCTTGAATTATCTATTATTGTGACTTATTCTAATACTTTTTACTTAGTTTTCAAATATATAAATTTTATTATGAAAACTTAAAAGATTTCATAATCGAATTTATGATCAAAATTAAAAGATTTGATTCTTAAAAATCGAACAGTGTCACATAAATTGAGACAGAGGGAGATGGAATCTATTATTATGGAGAAAAAAAATACATAAATGGGTCATAAAACTCAAAATAATTGCATGTTCATACCCCAATCCAAAGTAATTCAAGAAGTACTCATTCTCTCAAAAAAAAAGTTACAACCCATACCCTCCATTCATTAAGGTTGATAATTTTCGCTTAACTAATATTAAATCAGTATCATATATTGTATTGGTATCATTAAGACTGATAATTTCGCTTAACTGATACTAAATCAGTATCATATATTGTATTGATATCATTAAGGCTGATAATTTCGCTTAATTAATACTAATTCGATATATATATATATATATATACTAATTAGTCAATGATACTTTAAGAGTATATGTATATTATAGTGGTATCATTAATGTTTCTTGTTCAGAAATTACTAATTAGTCACTTGCTAAAAGTTCTTGCTAAAGGAGAGGAAGAGCTAAACTATTATTAACTCAAGCAAATAAATCACATGCTAAAAGTTCTTGCTAAAGGGAAGAACAAGATCATAAAGAATATGAAACTACATAGTAGTACTTGTAATTGGGAGACATGGCATTTTTCCACTATAAAGAAGAGGACTCAATTGTTTGGGAGAAAGAAAGTAGACATGGCATTGGAATTCGAGCCTCTTTTCTTTTTCTTCATCTTTTTTGTTGGTCATGAATTGAAGGTAGAAAACATGTTGTGATATTTTCTTTTCTTTTTTTTCTTTAATAAAAAAAAATCTCTCTTTTTTGACTTAAATGGGCAGAATATTTTGATCATTGAGCTTTTACTTGATGATTGAGGAAAGAAACACAAAAAGTGGACATAAAATGAAACTCTCAATCTCATACTTGGAATTTTTTTAGGGATTTGCTGACTTTATTACTTTGATTTCCCATTAAGATGAGGAAAACACCTCATTATTTAGACATATAATCATTTCTTTGTATTCTTTTTCAAAAGAAGAAAAAAAAGATGATGTGATTAGGTCAAATAATAATGCTTGGATTTCCACTTTGAGCTGTTTTATTCACTCTTCTTTTTGTACTGAGGAGACTCTGATTCTTTTTAACTTTCTTACAAAAAAAAAAAACTTTTTTCATCAACAAAAATAACTACACCTCTATCCTAGAGTCGTCTATATGAATCCTCAATGTCCATATCACCTTCTTTTTTAGATGTCAAGTTAACTAATAATGTAGAATATCAAGGAATTGTACCACGATAAAATTGGCAACAAGAGGGGTTACTTAGATGGTAAGCATCCTCCACCTCCGATTCTAAAGTAGTGATTTCGAAGCAAAAAAAACAAAACTTGTTCCAACCAATCCACCAATTTCTCTTTTCATTTCTAACCAATACCAATGAAAGATACAGACCCCAATTAAGAAAACAAGAAAAAACTCAACTCTTCTGCACTAAAGAGGAGTGAACATTACTACATATCCCAATTAAGTTAACATTTATACATGCAAACTATAACTAAAGGGAACAACATGCAGGATTTTTTTTTACAGAATCCCATATTTGAAGCTTTAGCAGCAGTTGTTAATAGTCTATCCAAACAAGGTCCAAGGTAGATTTTTGATAATCCACAATAATTAGATTGTTCTTTGCCAATTGATACCCTGCATAAACTTGCTTGATACCTCAGAATGGAGCTTCTCAAACTGAGTTCTGCAGTGATATCGTTGACAATCTTATTGCTTGTAGTACGTCATCCAAAGCCTCGACCTCATTCCTGGATTAAGAGTAAGAAGAAAGAAATGGTTAAGACTCTTAATGTCGGCTCCATCAGGGTATTATTACACAATGAACATGATAAACGCAGAATATTGGACGTGAGTTCATCAAGTTTAAAAAATTTCAACAGCTTGATCATATCACGATGCTACAGTTTCTTCTTTTTTGGGTGGGTGATCCACTATGTTTTGTTTTTGTTTCCTTGACAAGGACTACTCTGGAAAGAGCAATTGACTCTGACCAGCAGAACAATGAACAAAACAAACAACAATCATGAAAATCATTTGTAAATGGAATGGTGGCGTAAGATAATCCGTGCAATGACGGAGCAAGAATTCAGTATAGGCATATAACAAGTAGAAAGCATACCATTATTGGCAACATTATTATGCACACAAGTAATAGAACAGCAAAATCATGACTATTACAAGTATGGAAAACAGTTAAAAGACATCAAAAGCCAATTATTGACAAGTCCTAGCAATTAAGAACTTGAGACATCAGCTATATATCTCCAATAATGGAAATGTGGTAACTAATAATTTAGAAGGAAATGCTAACTAATAGTAATTTGTAGCTCTAACAAGTAAACTGTTCCATCTATAGTAATATTCTGATTGATGTATATCCGCTAGTAAGAACTAAGAACATATAACTAGTTTGGACATTCTAAAGGATACTAATAATGCTTTTCATATTAAGACAAGAGCGTGAAACCGAAGCATGTACAAATACGGTAATCCTACTCAATTAAGACATGAATTAAGCTCATTGAGAAAATGGGAGACATAACATTGACACAAGTTTATGATGAGACAAAGAAAAGACTTTTCCTGTTATTAGAAAAAATCCAAGGAGTACACAGATGACATGCATCGTCAAGATTACATTGACACAAATGATATCAAAACAAATGCAACGAACAACGAAAATTAACGTTTTTGGTTAAAAGAAGCACTAAGGACCTTGGATTTCAGTACAGTCGAAGTAAGCTCCTCGCGATCGAATGTGAGCCATTTGGCCTACTTTTTCCAGGTAAACCTCTTCGGCTGCCTCTCATGGGTGCCAAGTAGAACCGCAAGAGTCCATTATCAAGATGATTAGGTGAATACCTAGCACTTCGATTCCTCTCCAACACGATATCATCTCTTTTCTTCTTTACATGTCCATTCATCTCAACACTAGATTTCCTCATACTCCCAAATGATCCACCAATACCGGTCGAGTTTCTCCAGCTAACACTGCTGTTACTCCTGAATACCTTCCTATTAACACCACCTCTTACATCACCATTTGTCCTCAAGTCTTGCCACGATTCTGAAAATGACCTCTCCACTCCATTTGATCTACTATACCTATCATCTTCCTCATCTTTGTTCCCACTAACTCTCCTATTTATAAAACCCCATAAATTCCAGGCCCACCTCCTTGACTTTTTCGAATCCTTTCGCTCCCCGTTACCAATCACTGAACTATTATCCCTAAAACCTGTCAATTCAAATGTCTCAGAGCAGTCATCTCTTAAAGAATTGGAATTTGAATTCGAATCCCTCTCACCAACCAACACTTTGGCTCCAAGAAATTGATCACCCATAGCAGGCAATACTTTAGCATTAGATACTGATTTCATTTCATCCATTTCTGCCACAACAGCAGCTGCAGTCTTCCTAATTGAATTAGACCTATCAAGACTCTTCCTTCTCCTCGAAGATGAATCCGAGTAATACTCTTTAGTTTGAGTAGACCCTCCAGGCACTGATTCATCCTCATTGATAGAAGTCATCGAAAGACGCGGTTCCTCAACCGGAATTTGGTTATCAGACCGCGGAATATGCACAACTGGTGCATCTTCTATCACTGAAACCATTGGTGGCATTCTAGGAAAACTCCTACCAATCAAATAACCATCCCAAGAAGCACGGGGTTCATCGAAAGAATACCTTGGATCATCTAAACTCATCCTTCCAGCATCGAGTGAAAACCGAGGATCAGTATCACAGGACCTTCTCCCAAAACCATAATCAGCTATCTCCGATTGGGTATCCCTATAACGCCTTGAAATGGGTTTTCCTACAGGCAATGTACCCGAGTTTTCGCCATTGTTTCTCTTCTTCAGCTTCTGTTTTTTCCTCCAGTTATGCCATTTCTTACTAAAAACCGATGCAGCTGACCAAAAACTCCCTGCAATTTCCTTCAAATCCTTCCCCCCTGAACCCTTTTTGCCCTGCGAATCAAGATCTATATGATCTTTCATCGGCTTCAATATATCACCACTCAACTCCTCTTCCACCACAATCTCCGGTTCCACCGGTAACTCCTCTTCAATTATTTCATCAGCCACATTTCCAAACTCTTCACCATTTTCGAATTCGTCTTCTTCTTCCTCCTCCTCCTCCTCTTTAACCGGTCTACCAACAAACCCATCCCCAATATCATTCGCATTTTGATTTAGTGAACAAGTGGGTTTCCCAGTTTTCGTTTCGTCGTCGATAGAAAACAAAGACCAAAGGGTATTACGACCACGAACATCACAGGATTTCCTTTGGGGTTCAAAAGCAGAAGTATTAAACCCCAACGCCTCGTTTTTCGAAGCAGAAAACGACTTAGTCCGACGAAGCTCAGGAAAAAACGAAGTGGGTTTAACAGGTTTAGGAGGAAGATTATTAACAACAACCGAAGAAGAAGTAGAAGAAACAGAAGGTTTAGAGAAAAGGGATTTAATAGCAGCAGCAGCAGAAGATGATGAAGTAGAAGGACGTCGAGAAGAAGAAGAAGGGTTATTATTGTTACTGTTGTTATCTAAGGTGGTGAGTCGTTCACAGAGACATTCAGGACAAAAACCGGTGAATTGTTCATCTGGGTGTCGGTCACAACTGAAGGAAGAACGCGGTGGTTGTGTCACCTGAGGTGGCTGTGGCGGTGGTTGTGTTGGGTCTACAGTGGTGGGATTCATTGGTGTGCAGCAATGCGCACTTTGTTCATGTTAAATACAGCATTGCAAAGAGCAATACTAAGAGATTACTAAGAAATTTGCAGAGAAAAAATGGAGAATTTGTGTTGACAGAGAAAAGCAAAAGAGTGATGAAGAAGAAGAAGAGTAGAATTTGTTGGAAAAAGAGACAAATTAAAAGAAATAAGAAAATTTCTCTCCCTCTATTTATTTTTCTTTCTCTTTTTTTTGTAAGATTTTTTTATTTTACTCTACATGTAAAATGTGATATGACCTTTATACCCTTGATCTACATCGACATTTTTTATTTCTCGAGATTTAAATTATGTAATTTTAAATAATAATTTAAAATGTATGTTTGTGATATTAACATGAAAAACATTGAATCTTATGATATTTTTCTCTTCTTCTTTTTTATAATTTTAGATATTTAAGCATGAATTTTTAAAATATTAAATTAATTTTTAAAATTAGCTAAAGCTCTTGGTAAAAAGGAATTTCAAAGCTAATTCAATAATAGAAAAACTATCACATAAATCGATATAAAGAAATACTTTTTCAATTTCAATTTATTTGGTATAGCTAAATTTTGAGATTTAAATTTCTAAGTTTGACCGTGAATTTAGAAATACAAGATTTAATTTTTTTTTAAAAAAAATTCATATGTTTAAAAACTATGTAAAAATATATATCACAATAATTGATAACTTAAAGAAGGTAAAAAAAACATATGAAACGATTTCACTAAAAAAAAAATTGATTTACTCTTAAATATTAGTTGTGTATCATAAATTGGGACGGAAAAAGTAATTGATACCCTATACATCTTCCCATCCATTTTAGTCGTTGTGCTTATTAAAAATAATTAACTTAAAGTAGTTGTTATTTAAAAAATAAATAAGATGTTATTAATTATTTGTTTTTGCCTTTATATTTATGCAATAAATATAGATATAGATTAATTATTGTGATAAGAAAAATATATTAGTAAATTGAGCTAAGCAAAAAAATAAGAATAAATTAATTAAAATTGCCCTTTTAATTAAGTGAATTGAATAAGAGGGAACGGAACATTTAATCTTTTTACACTAACACATTAATAGAGTTAAATGTCTATAGTTAATGTATGAGTCAATGACCTTAAATATTTAGGTATAACCTATTAAACCACACTTATTATGCTATTAATTAAGGCTCGTTTGTCTTGTTGTATAAGAAAATATACTTTTGACTTAAAATTTTACAATAGTAATGTATTTTTTGTAATCACAGAAAATAAGTTCATTAATATTAAACATAGTATCACGGTTTCAAATTATGTGTAACTAGATCGTATGAATTTGATTTTATGCAAAATATAATGTAATTTAAGAATATGTGGGTTTTTTTAAATTAAAAAGTTGATTTTTTCATTGGGTGTTCGATATCTATATTGGAGCATGATTCGGAATTGCGTTGGAAAGTCTCATATTAAGAGTAAAACTCTTTCTTAATAAAGACAACTTCGTATTTAAAAAATTTCGAACCCAAAACCTCTAATTAAAAATGAAGAATAGTTACCACTAGTGACATTTCAATATGATGATTAAGCTAATACACATTTCAATATCTTCATCAATAATTATTTGTTGCATTTATTTATGATATAATAATTATTTTTTTCTATATCAAACTACATAGATATATTTTATTTTTAGTTTATTTAAAAAATAGTGATCGGTCTTAAAAATGATCTAATTTAAGCCTTTTATTTTACCTTGATATAATCTTTTGTATTTTTACTTATTTATTAGCAAATCCAAAGAGTAGTACTTTCTAACACAATATTAAATATTTATATATAGTAGTTAAATTTAAAATTTCAAAATATTATTAAAAATAAAAAATTGTGTAGTGTAAAATAAAATGAGGAAATACTAGTTAGATGTATTAATTAGTACTAATATTTATTTACTTTTATGAGAACTTTGGATTTTCAAAGATTCCTGTCGAGATAAAAAGCAAAAGTAAATCACGCTTTCATCTTCTTTCGCTTTCTTTGTTTTTTTTTTTGTTTTTTCTTTTTTGGGCCTTTTTTTTAATAATCTAAAAAGAAAAAAAAACTATGCTATTTTTTCCCCTCTTTCTTGATTATAGTAAGAGCTTTTCTTTTTGTTTTTTGGGAGCTTTCTTTTTCAGTATGTTTTTTTGTATTTTAGTCACTAAATTTGAGTCCCATCATTGTTTTTCTTCTTTCATTTTTTTTAAGAAGTAGTATTGAAAATATCTTTAAATTTGATGCAGATTATTAGTTTCGTTTTTGAAAGATAGACAATCTTAAAAATATTTTTTCATTTAACTAACTAAATTTAGATACACCTAAATTTGTCACATGATATAACAAATGGTCTCAAACTCTTGTAGGAGCATCAAGATCTTAATAAAAAGTCGAGAAAAGTATTTTCTCTAAACTTGCGAAAATTTAAATGTATATTTCACTCATATTGCAAGATCAAGAGTGTTATATTTTGTTAGTCAAATAAAAAGGTGTTTCTAAGACTGTTCAGAGATAAAACTAATAATTCACATCAAATTTAAGGGTGTTAAGTACTTTTCTCTTTCTTTTTTTTCCATTTACTACTTTTGGATTGTTATGTTTCACATGCCACTATCTTAATACACTACCCTATTAGAAAATAAGAGAGTAATGACGAATAAAATTTTATAGTTAAACAACAAAAAAAAATACATGCAAATGCAAGCTTGTTCCGCACATCCATGCATATAATCTCATTTAGTATAGTAAAATTCTAAAGCATGAAGTATTATATAATTATATGAAAGTTCACAAAATATTTAAAGCTCAACATACTTCAATATATTTCTTTAACGATACATGATACATGTTATATATATTCATCCATAATGACCCACAAAATCATCAATTAAATTCATCAAAAGTGTTTTTTATTTAGGAAAATTTTGACAATTTAATAATTCTTTTATTTTGGTAAAATATTAGTTAATCAGCTTCAATCTATATAAATAAATTATTTTTTCCTCCAATAATTTGCATGTTGCTAACTATAATAATTCTCACGTTATTATTTCTTTTTTCATGGTTGAGAGGGACTATATCGTATCACGTTGCCACCTAAATTTGCATGGCATATTATAGTAAGAGCGTAACATAATTATTTTGGGATAATTTTTTAAAATTAAAATACTAGATTAATTATAAAGTATTAAAATATCATGTATACACAAACTTTGGCTACTTTTTATTGATGAAATCATGGCCACTAACGGTTAAAACAAAATCACTTTTAGCATGAAATTATTGTAATGGTCATGGATCAACTTACATTGTAAGAAAAAAGCTAAGTTAAATTGTTTAAAGGTAAAGGGGAAAAAAGGCTTCAAGCTGGTTTTGTGGGACTTTGGACTTTAGGTTGAAATTGTTTACATGTACACAATAATCTTACTAAACCAATCAATGTAAATGTAATATTTTACCGATTAAACAGTCGATTTCAGTATAATCTTATAGGTGGAATCTAAAGTGTGATGTGTATGATGTATTACCCCTACCTTGCATGTGAAGATAGATAGATTGTTTTGATAGACTTTCGACTCAAATAAGCATATAATAAATATAAGCATGCAAAGCAAATATAATATTGAATTAGTCATGCCGTAAACAATGATAAAGAGAAAAGTAAATAAAATGAAATAACGTGTAATACTAATATCGAAAAATAAGATAGAAAATAAAAATAACAATACTAAAAATGAAACTGTACAAGTTTGACCTACTAATATTCTACCATAATCTGCGATCTTCATATCAGTAAGCTGCAAATGAATCATGTCTTATCTAATCACCCCTCTTAAAAAAATTCTGTCTGAGCAACGTGATCAAGTTATATATAAGTTATTACTTTTAATTCATAATTTTAAAAATTAAATTATGTGATTTAATGTGGACATAAATATTTTCCCTTTGGCTGCTTGAAGGACCTTTTTGGTAGTACAACATTCTTTCAATATTGCCAAGTAATATATAGTACTTATGTGAAAATAAATAAAATTTAAAAAATATATTAGAATAAAGTGGAGTATTGAAAAAGGTGTGGGGGTGGGGTAAAGGAATGAAAGAAAAAGTAGGGACTTGTCGGAAAAAGTCCAAAATGTGTCTCCTGGGGAGTCGCCAAAGAAAGGGAAATGACATATCTCGCCCAAATACTTCCCATTTATACGAAATTCACCCATATTCTCATTTCTTTTGCAGCTTTTAGTTTTTTTGTTTTGTTTTTTTCGTATCGTATTCAATATTAGCATTAGAATTCAATTAAATTTGAATTTAAGTCCAATAATTTCACATCGGAAGGAAACACTTCTTAATAAAGGTAATTTTATATTCACGAGAAATTCAAACTTGAAACCACTCATTTAAAACGAAGAAGTATTCTCCCCTTCCTTTTCATTTATGCAAAGTCTATTTGATTATATGAAATTTAACGGAGAAAAACAAAAACCAGAATTTGTATTATCAAATGACTTATAATATTTAAATAATTTTTAAAATTTGTGAAATCAAATTATATAATAGTTGTGTAGCTATAAGACTCATGACATAATATATAAACATGTTTTTTTTTTTTCAATTTAGCCTTATTGATATTTACGTTCTCTATTATTTTTTATGTATAAAAATTAACACTTAAACTTATATAAGTAAACACACACATCTTATGCGACTATTTTGAATATATCCTATATAACTTTAAACTTCTCGATATTTTTAAATTTTTTATATTCAATCAAACACGTAAATTAAGACGGAGAGAGTATAAGTTTTGTGAGAGGAGACCTATACTATCACTACGTTACGCAGAGTGAGTGACATTGCTACTTGCATTGCCTTTTCTATATCTACTTCATTACTCTCTACAACCCACGTGTGCCTTTTTTTATATTTTGATATAAAGTTAAAGAATTGTGGTTTAAAATATAAAAAGTAATTAAAAATATCGTCAACATATTAAAAACAACTCAAATTTGATTCCTTTTTATTTATTGGGTCACAAATCACAATTGTCTCAAACGTTAGCTTTTGAATTGAAAATCACGTTTCATTTTTGTTTTTCACGTGATATGTTTCAAAACATAAG